ATTTTAATATTAAATTATATTGTAAAATATGTTGAGAAATAAAAAAAATTTTATTTAATTTTTTTAGTAATCAAATAAAAAAATTTAGTTTTGTCTATTCTATCCTTCTCAACCCAAATATACAATTAGTGTCTTTTTTTTTTTTTTCCTCTTTCTTTTGAACGTTAGGAAATTTGAGAGAAGGAGATAACATTTCTCAACTTGAACACAAAAAGATGCCAGGGCATGCATATGCACTTCCCTATCGCGGGTAATGACGCAAGTGCGAGTACTAACTTTAGATGCGTAACCCATAAACAGATTGACAAAATAAATGGCACATGAATACTTGCAAAGCATGACTTATGCTTCTCCTGATGTCTTTTTCTTTTGATGGCGTGTTGGTATTCACAAGGTGCTCAGTATAATGCCATTTGCTAAATTTTAGGTTTGAAAAGTAAATATGAGAAATAATGTATAATACAGGGGACATAACCTATTAGTTGATTCTAGATAGATCAATGCATAAATTTAATACATGAAATGTGGGTCATGCAATGTACACTCTTCCTTCTTCTCGCTGTCTTAATTTGATTTTTTTTTTATATGTATTTTAACTTCTATATACGTATTACATAGTAGTAAAAAATGAAAGTTGAAATTATTTTAATCAAGTAAAATTAATTAACAAAAATTACAAATAAAAAAAGAAAAATTTTGATTTAATTACTTGTGATTTGAGGCAAGTGTACATAAAAATTTAAAAATTTAAAATGTGTATATAATTTACTTGTGGTTTTGTGTATGTGTAAATAAAGATCTAAGATATCAAAATATGTACATAAAAACTTGATGTAAATAATCAATTGAAATTTCTTAAAAATCCCTAACTTAAAAAATGAAAAGAAAAGAAAAATAAAGGTATATAGGACAATTTCATGTAATTTTAAGTGATTATGTACACCTAATATAAATTTTAAACCCTTATTTGTACATCTTAAAATTTTAAGTTTTTATGTCCATCCACCTCAAATGACAAGTATGTTACATGCATATTTTAAAATTTTGAACCTTTTTATACACTAATCTTAAAACACAAGCAAATAAAATGTAATTTTCCCTTGAAAAAGTTCAATTTCCATTCATTTCCCATTTTGTTAACAGTTAACAGAGATGCTCAGGTTTAAATGTGGTTGTGAATATTATTTACAAGTCACACCTGCCCATTTATAAATTGACAAAAATATTAATTTACGCTAGACCATCATGTTTATTAAATCAAATGCCACTACGCAAGCACTAAAAATAAAAGGTTAAACTCTTATTTTAGTTCCTGAACTATTGTACAGACCTTCGATTTGGTCCCTAAACTAAAGAAATCCCTAATTTGATCCTTGAACAATTGTACGGACCCCTAAGTTGGTCCCTAAACTATTGTACAGACCCCTGAGTTAGTCCCTAAACTATTATATTGATCTCCAATTTAGTCCCTACTGTTTATTGATTTAGCTCAAACTTGGTTTTCCCATTAAATAATAGCTTAGGGACCAAATTAGGGCGAAATTGTAAACAGTAATGATCAAATTGGGGATCCGTACAATAGTTCAAGGACCAACTTAGGCCAAATTATAAACAGTGGGATCAAATCAGGGGTCTGTACAATAGTTTAGGGATCAAATCAAGGATTTCTTTAGTTCAAGGACCAAATCAAGGTCCGTACAATAGTTCAGGGACCAAAATGGGGATTTAACCAAAAAAAAAGACAAGAAGGTTAAGGATACTGAAATTATATTTATTTAATAAAATATTATGAAAAATAATTTAATTTATGTTTCAAACATAAGATACTTTAGTAGCTGGGCCTTTGGTCTAGCGTTCTCAATCCACACGTAAAGTGCATTTTTTTTTTTTTAACAATTGTTCGATTTCAGTTTTTACAAATTTGTTCAAAAAAAGAAGAAGATATTTTAGTTTTTTAATGAAAATTAATTGAAAGCATAGTTTTGGTTTTTTTTAAAAAAAATTTTTAGAATGTAGGGGAAATAGATATTTTTCTTCTTTTATATACTTCTTTTGTTTGACAAAATATTGTTTTAATTTAATTTAGT